AAGTCGTCCCATTTCGACAGAATCCGGCGCACCCCATGCACGACACGAGCTGCGGCGCCGTTTCATGGGGGCTCGACAAGGGCGTCGTCGTCTGCGACGGGTACAAAACATACGTAAGCGACAGAAGACATGCTCGACAAGATCACTGGTGGTCTAGAAGAGCTTACTAGACGATCGAAATCATCGTTCAACTCCAGACGAAGGTCAATCACGCTCAACACTTCTTGGTCGTGCTTGGTCAGAGCTTGGTGGGTCATTGCGTACTCGGCACGAAGCTGCTTCTTCATCCACCTGCGACGCAACGGACAGAAGAGTAAGATTGTCGAGAACAGCAGCTTGACAGCAGGGTGGCAAAGCTGTCACTCACACGGAACCTCTTGCGCCAGAGAATCCTGGTGGTTCATATCGGGAAACCTGTCTTTTGAATCGAAGTGCATCATTCGAGTTCGACTGCCATGGTGCCTCGGAGCCAGCAGATCGTCGGGGCGCGATACCACAAATAGGCTCGAGTGGGAGAACGGAGGTACACTTCGTCTGCATGCAGAGCCAATGCACGTGAGAACGGGTTCAGGGCTAAAGACGGAGCAACCAAGGCGACGGGAGAGTGTTGAACTCACGGTGTCCGCAGCAGAACGAAAACCACTTGCTTGCCGAGGAGGCCGTCGAGGTGGTTGTTTGCAAAAGCGGCCGGGGTGGGACGGGCCATCTCTTCACGCGCACGCGCCGGAGTCACAATCAACACCTTGGGGAGCTGCTCGACGGACAGCAGCTCATGACAGAACAGGCTGCACGGAAAGCTAAGGCAACGTCAGCGGCAGGTAAACCGAAACATGGCAAGCTGAAAATGTTCGACACGACACGTACACGACGCCCGCGGTCATCATGCTCTCGTCGAGCTCCCCTTTCGGCGCCTCGCTAATCGCATTCAGCTGGTCCTCGTACACCTCCACCTCGACCCCGCCTGCACTAAGGATGAGGCCGCGTCGAACCGTCGGCTGGTTCATGACGGGTACGGAGGCGGGGCCCGTAGCCATGTCAGGCCTAGCAGTGGACAGGGCGGGCGCGCAGGGGAGTTGGGAACTAGCAGGGACTAGGAAGTAGTGAAGTAAAAATCGGAAACAGCAACAAAATGAGACCGGACGTAGGGTGTTAGCTGTTTGCCATCCCTCCCACCGCGACGGACCAGGGGGGTTCAAGGGCGAGGAGGCAGGGCGCGTTCCGAGACGCGGGAGGAGGAGCTCTTCGTGGAGGCCGGCGGGGCACTATTGGCCTCGACGTGAAACCTGGTTGTTGGTTGCATGGGGTGGGGCCCCTTGCATGCAGCTGAAAGGCCCCTTTCAAGGTTCGGCAGGGGGCCTTCGACACGTCACCAAGATCGAGCGGCTTGAACGAAATGGGCCCATCAAGGGCGAGAGAGGTGGAGCGCGACGCAGATGGGCGTCGCTTCCGTCTGGCCGGCGAAATTTCGCGGACTGGTTCCGTCGGCGATGCGTCGCTCGACGAGGGATGGGTTGGTTACCGGACGGAATTCGTCCACGAACCGAGCGAGCAGTTGGGCTCGGTTGGGTGGGGACCACTGCCAGCTCGAGGGCGCGAGTTGATGGCGTCACGCGCAGCTGGCGCCAGCTGGGGGGGCCTGTTTCTGGGCGGGAGGGGGGAGTTGGCTCCCGCCCCTCGCGTGCCCCGCTAGGCGACTGCGGGAAAACAAAAATCCCTCCGAGGAAAACCCGCAGGGGCGAACGGGTTTCCGCGGAGGGATTCGGGCGATGTCTTCCCACAGAATTCCCAAATTCCCTGTTATGCACTTAGCCGTAGCTTCAAAGCTGGCAAAGCGACGTTGTCATGTAAACTCACAGCTTTGCCTTACCAGGCTCTTTCAATGCTATTGATTCGCGAGAGCTGCTGAACCAAGCCAGACGTTAGCAAACACTTACAACGACACCTTGTTTCTTAAACAGGTTTGTCACGAATACGATCGAACAAGATACGGAGAAACCCGCTAGCAGCCTGTTTCACGAGGTTCTTGTTGCTGACATTTCTAGTAGCTCAGTCATCGATAGTGAAACTCAGCCCGATCCGTCATTGTCCTGCTTTCCATAGACTCAGCAGCAGGGAAAAATCGGTGCGATAGAAGTCTGTCTTTGGCAAATGAGAAGGCTCCACTTTTGAGTTTTTGGCCAGGTGGTGTCCTATCCGGCAGCAGCAAGCAAAGCCGGAAAAAAGTACAACGACAGTCGAACATCGCAAAAAAGGACTTGCTAGAAAGCTGCGGGAAAGTTGCAAAAAGGATACTTTTTGGATACCTTGGTTTTGCAACTTTCCAGTGATGGTCAAATGTTGTAGAAATCGTGGTTGCGGAAAGTTGCGAAAATGTTGCATTCCTGCAACTCTCCCGCAACACAACCGCAACTTATCGGACAATCTTTGGACACGTTGTGTATACATTTCAGTCACATGTATGCAGTTTCACCATCTGCCACGTGGCATGCGTACAGTTTCGACTTCGAAATGAACGTACGCCGGTACGTTCGCGAAGATATTTTGCCACGTCAGCCACGATATTTGTGCCACGCGTCATTCGCGATATGTGGACTCAGGCGTGACACTTGGACCATTCAAACAAGATGTGCGAACGTGGGAAAATTGATTTTAACATGCCGCCGAATTGTCTGAAATCGGAGCATGCGTTTTAGTCACAGTTGTGTTTAAAAGTATTCAGTTTATACACTATATGTATTCTCTTGCACATTTGCATGAATAATTATCAGCACACACAGAGCACGATCTAGGCGAAAAACCAACACAGCTAATGCAACGACTACAGATCTTCAGGTCTCAATGGCAGATGAATATAGGGCGAAATCACGCTTCGTTTGCGGGCCTGCAAACAGAGATACGGCTTAGTGTTAGACATGGGTTAGTAGACAGTAATTGTTCCCTACCTCACTGACCTACCGCCCGCGGGCCTTGAATTGAACAGAGAACATTGCCATGAACAAGATTGACAACTCTGCGAAATCCATGCGAAAAAAAAAAATGTATATATATCTCGTGGCAGCCACTGCCTCTGCAATGGTCTTGGTACCACACAGGAGAAGACAGCTAAACGTTAGCGTTAGAGGCTGGATGATATATAACTCGATACGAGCATGGGGAAGAAGCCACGACGATTTAAGAGATTTGCAAGTGGAGGCAAAGCGAGACCGAAGGCCTTCCCGCATGCAGAGACCGTGCTGACGATCTGTGTATTGGGTGGATATGAAGCGGGAACATCAATGTAACTGATTAAAGTGGCACGGTGCAGCGCAGTTCAATACAAGAGAAAATGTATCTGCATTCATTGCGGGAAGAACGAGAGGAAAACGATAACTGAAGAAGCCTAACAAGTGCGAATAAATGACAAGTGAGGATCACAACAAGAGTGAGGAGAATCGTTTGTAAAAAAAATCAAGCTTTCAGCGCATAACACGGCGCTTCCGCTGCCGGGCAACGCGCTTTACGGCGCACCGTTCGTAGGTAGATGGGTGCTGAGTCCGCGGCGATTCGCGCGCAGAACGTCCTCTGCGTGGGGAGCGCAAGTCGATGAGCTGTATATGGGACGGGAGGTAGAAAAGAAGGGGACAGATGCAGGGTGAGACGGTAGATCTGGACAGATAATAGCTTGAATACATACTTCCTATAGTAGATTATTACACACACAGAAGGAAAAGCATACGGTATACGCTAGTTGATGCGTGAGGGGATATTCAGAGGCACGATATGCAGGCTGGACTGGAAGAAAAAGCTGAGAAATTTGTATGACCAATGAGCTACGCAACTAGCGTGTTGTGTGAATACGAAAGAGAGACGCTTCTAGAGCTCCGAAGTGTGATGATGTGTCTTCACGGATGCTGTAGATTTCTGGCACTAGCATACATCGCACCAGTAATTGGTTAGTAAAAAATCAGGTAGGTTCGGATAGCTCAATTCCGGTTACCTAAGGTGTGATCCGGGAAGCCACGTCACCTGAACAGAATCTGAACACTTACATTGATTGGGTGTGACATGGAACTGTATGCCAGCTGCCAGTTCCGATTCTGGGTTGTGCCTTCGCGAGCCTCATCTGAGGTTGTATCCCAGTTACTGTGCTCGCCACGTTCGACAATGTCCGCCTGATTCGTGCTGTAGTGTTCATCGATCATACACCAGCAAAGGGGACTCCCGAGATTTGGTCGGACGAAGGTGTACTGTTCGGTGAAGATGTTTTAAGTTTGATGTGTGAAATTAGTGGCTCGGTAAACCCACGTATACAAGAATTTGCGCCCCGGCTGACCCACGTAGCTCATGTTCGCGGCTAGGAAGCCAGCTTGTATCCAAAATTGGTGCATGTTGCGGTTTCACTCAGTGCTTTTCGGATACTTTTCAGGTAGGTTTCTGCAACTTTGCTGCAGCTTTCAGACTTTAACTCGATTTTGAGCCAAACCCTTTTCCGCGATGAAATGCAATCTGTGAGGAGTGTACAGGGGGGAGGATCAGGTGGCGATGAAGATGCGGGTGGGAAGGACCCTTCGGATGTGCCTCCTGTTGCATCCGCCGCTATGGGTGCGCCGCCGTCCGCCACCCAGGTGGAGAGCACGAGCAGCAGTTACGACGAGGAGATTTTGGAATGCATGCACAGATTGAAGATGACGGCACAGTGGCTTCATTACGAAAGCGAGGGTGAGCCAAAGATGGCAGAGCGACGACGAAGAAACAGTCGCGGCAGGAGAGCAGGGATGCAGAAAGGATCCGAGAAGCTTCAGGTGCTGTCGCTATTACATGGACGTGAGAGGCGCGTGGGACCGGCAAGTGTGCGAGTGCTGCTTCGACCGCGTAGTGAGCTACCGAGCACAGCGCGTACTTGGCATTGTCCGCCTGGCAACTTTCCGTTGCGACCTTGAGAACCAGCTGCCTGACTCCATCCCTTTGCTCCCCAGGGTCGGCCGCCCAGCGCCATTGTTGAGTACTCTGCAGGGGTACCCATGAGGGCTTTTGAGACTCCGGGAGGTTTGCCTCCTCAGCAGTTGTTCGGCGTCAAGTGTGCCGTGGCACCGATTCGCTGTGCCGAGGCAATGATTCTCGAGTGGATGGCTGAGCCTCGTGTGGGCGTGCTCATGGACCTGGGGAGGATCAGATCCCGTCTGCCTGCCATTCTGGCGGCTACAGGTGCCACTTGTTCAAATAGCAGCAGTGCAGCTACAGCTGCACCTGCTCCTAGAACAGCTGCTGCCCCTGCTGCTGCTGCTAGTGGAACGTGGGGGGCTCACTGGTCTGCCTACCGCCGTGCTGTCAGCTTTGCCGCATTCCTTACGCTTGTCGCGAAGTGGCCGCGAGTTGTGAATCTAAAGAGGTTGTCTCTGTGTCCAGGCTCCTTAGTTTATCCTGCTATCATGGCCCAGCTGGGGGCTGGCAGGCAGGTGGAGAACGATTGCGTAGCTTCCATGCTGGTGCAGGTGCTGGGGGTGAAAGAGAGCGCTGATCTGCAGGAAGGGTTTGGTGCTCTCATGCAGAATCTGCTGTCAGGCGGGCTGGAAAAGGCGCATGCAGCTGAAAAGGGGAGTGAGGGAGCTGGGGGAATGGGTGCTGAGAAGACACATGAGGAGGAAGGGGGAATAAGGGGGGAGACTGCTGAGAAGGCGCAGGGGGAGGAGGGATGGGCGGATGGCGAGGTGATGGATAGGGGCGGGGGCATGGAAAAGGAGGAGGAGCAGGGGGTTGATGATGCTGGTGATGTGAGGGACGGAAGAGAACCAAATTGTAGCAGCGAGGCGAGCAGAGGGGAAGACAGACGTAGTAGCAGGGCGGCTAATGGAGCTGCTGAAAAAGGGTGGCAAAGGGGGGAAGAATGGGCAATGGAGGGAGCATTTGAAGGGGCGTGTGTGGGAGAGGTATGTGGATGGCATGGCTTGGATTCTAGAGCATGGTGGTGGGGAAGGGTCGGAGTTCCGGTGCAGCCACTGCAGTGAGGGGGGCAGCAGCAATAGTGGTGACGTGCAGGTGAATGGTATTCCCAAGGGCATGTATGTGAGTGGGGTCAGCGCCACGGATATTGCTCTTGCTTTTGCCGAAGAGTTGTCTAAGGCAGAGCGCTGTGTAGACGCCTGTATGTACACATTGGATGGAAACAATACGAATAAGGTGAGGGTGGAAGAGGCAGCAATTGAGGAGGCTAGAAGCAGGCTGAAAAGAGGGGTAGGTGGAAAGGGCATAATATGGGGTTCAGGAGCAATAGGAGGAAAATGGACAGCAGCAAACACGAATGGGGCAGCAGCAAGCAGGAGTGGGGCAGGAGCAAATATGAGTTGGGAAGCAGCAGACGCGAGCAGGGCAGCAGCAGCCGCGAGCTGGGCAGCAGCAGCCGCGAGCTGGGCAGCAGAAGCATCAGCAACTGGTAAGGCATCTGCTTCCAGTGCTTCTGCTTCAGCTGGCAACCGGCCTTGTGCACGAGTAGATGGCACCTGCGCTAGGTACAACCCTGGGCTAGTGCCTGTAAACACAAATCTCATCCTCGCAGCCTTCACATATCGAGTTGCCCGCATCTTACGGTGGGTTCGATTCTATGGCTCAGATGTCGTATTTGTGGAACGATGCTCCAGAAGTAGGCCACCGAAAGGGATCTTGCAAATGCCCCATCCCTTTCGAGTGCTCCCGAGCCTGCTGCTGAGGCTCGGTGCCATCCCGAAGCCTCTAACTGCTGAAAGTCTTCCTATAGAGTGGGAGGAATGGCCACATGGTGATGAAGCTGCTTCGAAGCTTCCTGATGATCCCGATGCAAGATTCTACCTGCTGGGTTTTGTGGAGGAGAGTGCAACGGGGGTGGAGAGTGAGCAGAAGAGGGTAACAGAAGAAGCATCAAAGGCTGGGAGGAGGCACAAGAGGGGGAAGGTGCGAGGAGCCAAGGCACCATGCCAAGCAAGTGACGGCAGTGGCAGCGTTGCAAACAGAGGGCATGGTGAAGAGCAAAGGGCCAGTTCACATGCATGCGGCATGGCTGTTGCAAGGCCGCCTTTTAGAAGGAAGCTGCCCATCGTGTGCTGCGTGGCAGATGCAGATTTTTTTGTGGAGGGGGTTGGCCGGTTGATGAGTCCACCGGCATGTGCTCAATGCATCCATTGCTACCGCAGTTTCTACATCCGCATCCCATCCATCGCCCTCATTGCCAAGTTCGCCTATTGCCCCCTCTACGTTCTCTTCAACCGCTTCTTATCTGTCTTCCCGCCACACTCTGCTGGGTTTGATGCACTTTTGGAGAACATGGGGTTGCCGCCGTTTCCCTCAGGCTCGCCTTCACGTACCAACCTTGCGGTTCTGTGCGGTGAGCTAGAGAAGGAGCGCGTTTTCTTCCTGCTCCTCGTGGCCCACATGTGGCCGACTTCCATTCTGGATATGGAACAGTTTGAAGGCATAGAGGTGTTCTAGGGAGATGGGATTCGAGTGAACAAGATGGCTGTGACGGGGAGGAAGAGAGGGAAGGCTCGGCGAGGGATGGGAAAAGGAGGGGAGGAGGAGGAGGAGGAGGAGGAGGAGGAGGAGGAGGAGGAGGAGGAGGAGAATGATGGAGAGGTGTGGGAGGAATTGGATACGTGGTGCTTCGCAGTAATGAATGCGTGACCATCCAGCATGCGCGCCTCGTTGAGAAATGCCGATGTTGAATCGGCGGGTTCAGGACTGAGCGATGTGTGCATGGGCAGTGAGGAGCAACAGAAGAGGGCGGACGTGAACGCGAGGACTGCTGATATGGTCAACACAGGTGCGGCGAAGATCCGCAGAAAGACGGTGCAACACGGCGGTGCTGTGGAGAGCAGTAGCACCGGCAGCACCAGACGTGATGTAGTCATGGAGAGTGGCACTACTGGTGCTGGCAGCGTCAGTGGCGGTAGCAGTGGCAGAGGAGGCGATGGTGCTGGCACCAGTAGAGATGGTGACGATGCTGATGGTGGCAAGTGCAAAGAGGGAAAGGGCAAGAAGGGGGAGCTGCCGGCTTATTTGAAGGCATGGCCGGGGGGGGGGGGTCAAGCTGGTGGCATGTCTGCGAGAGTTGCTGCTGGGGGAGCCGTGCTACCACCCTGCCTCTCATGCTTCCCCTTCCGTCCCTCCTCCTGTTGTGAACACCTCTGGTGCAGTTGCTGCTGCCTCGTTCCACCCACCTGTGCGAAACCTTGCTACCACATCAGCCTATGATGCTTCTTCTACACATGTCACCCCAACTACTGGTGCTGCAACAGGCACTACAAGAACAGCTGTACCCATTGCAGATGAAGAGGCCAATTTTCCTGATGCTTACAAGGAGAGTAGGTGTGGTGATGTGGGGTGTGGTAGGGTGGAGGGTGGTAATGTGAAGCTGAGGAGTTGCGGTGGGTGTGGCAAGGTGCCATATTGCAGCAAAGAGTGCCAAAAGGCGCACTGGCCCTCCCACAAGCACACATGCCCCGGTAGGACCAGTAGCCGGGGTGGTGGCAGCAGCAGCACTGGCAAGGTGGGTGGCAAGGCGAGCAGTGGGGGTGTTGGGTAAGTATGCCATTGACTTAATGCATCACAGACAAGGCTTGCGAATGCTGCTACAACTAATGAGGGTGTGCAAAGTTTTCTTTGCATGTTGTCAGGATGTTTGCTGCTCTGCTTGTTGCAAGTCATCCATATTGTGCAGCACTGCTGAGCATTCTCAGAGGTGCCTATAATAGGAGTGTGCATGAAGTTCCCTTGCAGATGGCTGGGTTGGGCCCTTTGCTGCTGTGTGCCGCCGTGCTTGCAGTTGTGCTTGCTGCCAGATATGAACCTTGTGTTGCAGCAGCTGCACTGCTTGAGAAGCAAATGTAGACTCTGCTGTGTTTCATGTGTTGGAAATGACTGGCGTTCCTCTCCTTGCACTCTCTTTCCCCGGCTTTTCCTCACTACCTTTCCAAGTGCTCGCTTGCACACGTCCCCTCCACCTGCTCTGCATTGGTCTAAGTTTAACTGACATGTTAAGCAGTGCTATGCAGAACTCTTCATCCGCGCCTCACAGACATTGTCCAGTTGGGAAATGGGCGCATCGGACTGAACCTCACAAGTTAAAGGTTTACCACCGTGCTGAGCCCGGGCGCTTATGAGCTGCTTTTGATAACAGGGAGGGGTCTTCGGTTGAATAAAATAATAAAATCCGTGAATTAAATGTATGGCTGGAATCTGCGGGTTTTACAAAGGACATGCCGTAATAAAGAATACACTAGCATTTTCCAGGTAGTAACTGGGTCGGGGGGATTTAGGGTACATGGGGAAACGTAGGGAACGTGTTGATGTTACTGGTACCAGAGGACAGCCAATTGATTTGTACGCTAGTGCGAATTGCCCTCTGCCAAGTGGCGAGATCTCATCGAGCAACGGGAGCTCCTCGCTGTTGCGGAAGGCTTGAAGGCTCAGAAGAGGCAGAGCATACGGTAGTGCCTAGTAGAGGCAGGGTAAGGCCGGCAGGCAACACCACACCACAGCAGTGTTGTCAACGACCCACAGTCTACGTTGCACACATGTGGATCAGGATCTGAAGGGGATGGTGGAGGAACAGAAGTGGGAGAGAGTTGGAGAGAGGCAGTCAGCCATGAAGGACCCCACCGCCTTGACTGCACTGCACTCATGTGGACCAGGGGCCTGGTGGGGTGGGGGAGTGGAAAGAAAGGTGGAAGTGAGTGAGAAGGGAGTGAGCAGGGGGTGGGGGGAGGAAGGAGGCGAGAGAGAGAGAGACATGAAGGACCCCACTGCCTTGGCACCACTGCACTAGCGTCTGTATGATGATGGCTGCCACACACGTGATGATGGCTGCCACAAACGTGATGATGGCTGCCACACACGTGATGATGGCTGCCACACACGTGATGAGGGGAACAGGTGGGGAGGCTGATGACCCACCTGTGTGGCAGCCATCGTGTGCCACCCCAGTGTGTGCCGCGCGTTGACTATTACGGATTTACTTCCGCCACATGTGCAGGAGGAAGTGCCGGAGCATCGAGAGAAGGAGGGCTTCATGTCCCCACCCATTTGTGGAAGTTGACATTCCCCATCTGCCTCAAGAACCAGCTTCTTCCTCTTGTGGTCCAACTACTCCCCATTGCCCGACTGCTTCGCTGGGGTTGGCTCAGCTGGGTGAGACCGTTCCTGTTACTCTCGAGCCTCCAGGGTCAGCTTGTTCTGCAGTCGTTGACTTCCCGCTGTGTTCCATCGTTGCAGGTCCGGTGTCTCCGGGAGTGGAGGTTGAGGCAGTTGGGATGGTACGCAGGCGAAAAAGTCCGTCTGATGCCGGACGTTTGAGGTCCATCTCATCAGTGTGTGACCAGGTCGGCGCCTCCGTGGGTGTTGTCCTTAGCAGAAGAGTCCGGTCGGAGTCGTCCATCGTGCCCTGCACTGTAAAGTTTAGAATGAAGACTCCGTCACTGTCGATTGCCTTCCCGATGTAAGTATTGTTGTAAAACACTCGAAGCGTTTCTCTGTGCAGTTGCTTCGAATGTCAACCTCGCGCCTCATGAGTTGAGCTGAAGAGAGGAGGTTGTACTCAGATTGGGAACGACCAGGACGTCTTCGATGTGAATGGTCAAGCGAGTGTCTACAGCTTCAAGGTAAATTTCTCCGATGTCGTATGCATTGAGTCGATTATTGTTTGCGACTCTTATTCCGCACTGTTGCCGCATACGTCTTGCTGATAAAAGTTGGTTATCCCACCATGTGTTGTCCGCATAATCACGTTTTTGCGACGCTGACGTGCGATGGCGGCAATCTTTGGAGTGATGATGCGTTTGAGATCGACGTAGAAGCGCGAGAGGTTGTACTGGGTTCTGACAGGAAAGCTGGGAGGAGAATCCGGTGTGCTCGGTAGAAGCTCCAAGTCAAGTAGGAGAGTTGTTGGCGTGTCGATCCAGAAGCTTATCGTGGGATCGTTGTTCAGGCTTGGTGTGATGGGAGTGATGGGTACGATTATTGCGTATTCAATGTTGTCGTAGTATCGGATGCCTCTGCGATGATGCACCATGCAGCTCAAAACTGATCCCTTGCCCTTATCCTTGGACAAAATGCGTGCAGGGGCTTGTGAGGTGCTCGCGACTGAAGGTGGCGACATGGTCGCTTTCGCAACTGGAGTTGCAGGGGCCGCCGAGGGCTGCTGACTAGATGAGTTGTTGTTGCGCCTCTCGCCAGCGGCCTTTCGTTTGTAACACCGGTCTATGGTGTGACCGGGCTTCTTGCAGTATTTGCAAAAGGTTCCCTTCTTTCCATGCTGCTCCATTTCAATCGCTCTAGTCAAGAACACTAACTTTTTCCGCTTGCTGTTCTTTTCATTGTACAGATCGATCTTCTTCTGCTCGGAGAGGAGTGTGGCGCAAAGGGCGGACTCGAAAATAGTGGCTCGAGCGTGGAGCAACAACTCGCACTGACGCCAATCGGGTCCAAGGCCGGAGAGAACCATCGAGACGAACATGTTGTCAGGGACGGGTCCGCCGCACTTCTTAGGACGCGGTAAAAATAGACGATTGATCGTCAGTTGCGATCGATGTGCGGATTGATTACCCTATTTACTACGATGTAACCACGATATAGTATGCTTTTTGGCCAAATGTTTTGTACAGTGTGTGCATCAAACTGATCACTGATCATGGGAGATCTGCCAAATCTCAGTAGCGATCGTTATAACATCACGATCGCCACGTTTCACCAATCGATCTGCCCAATCGATTGCGGGGCTCGATATGTGCAGAGGGGCGTGCGATATTAGCACTTTTTCCGCGTCCTTAATGTGGTCACATAGATTGCGGCACCGATTGTTATACGGCCCGGCTTTCTCCCCTTGTTGCATTTTCACTGATGTCAGTTGACTGAGTAGACGACTCATGGTAACCGGATCCGTTGCCATGTATGAATTGCGCAAGTGTTCCCAAGACATTTGCGCAGGAGCGCACTCTGTTAGAACATTATAGCTTATGCTTTTGTGTAGGCTATAGTGGGGTATCCCATAGGGGGTACAACCCAATTAGGGTTGGTACTTGTACTCACTCATTTCATAGTTCATTCATTTGTGTTCCTTCGTTTCACATGGAATCAGAGCAGGTTCCCTCCCAGGGACTGCTTCTAGGGCCCACCGAAGCGCGCCCCGAGGCGCGCCCTACTTTTTTTTAGCGACCCTCCGTGTCGCCTCTAGCGGCCCGTCGCGCCGCCCTTACCTACGCGGCCCCGCCGCCCTTACATCGCGGCCCCGCCGCCCTGCACTTAGCGGCCCCGCCGCCCTTCCTTCGCGGCCCCGCCACCCTGCACATCGCGGCCCCGCCGCCCTCCCTTCGCGGCCCCGCCGCCCTGCACGTCGCGGCCCTGCCTCTTTTCACTTCACGGCCCTCGCCGCCCTTCCGTCGCGGCCCCGCCGCCCTTCACTGCACGGCCCCGCCGCCCTTCACTCGTGGCCCCGC